GCATCGTGATTTCCCTGGGCATAGGGGCTGAGTCTTAACTCCTGCTTGTCTCCACTGCACTGCCTGGCACACAGTCGGTGCTCAGTTAGTGGCAATTGTCTTTATGACGTTCCTCCTTACGATTTCTTCCTCCTGAGGCTTAGAAAGCAAAAAGGAGTGGCTCCAGAAGAAAACAGTGATACTGTGTCACAAGAGCTAATATGTATTGAGTGTGAACTGTGTGCCAGGCACGGTGCTCGCTGCTCTACAGGCATTATTTTATTGCAGGACAACTGTATAGGACTAGTACCATCCTACTAGTGAGAAACCTGAGCCTTCTAGAAATTAAGAACTTTAGCCAAGATCACCCAGCTAAGAAGCGGCAGAGCAGGGTTTGAAAGCTATGCAGACTTACTTAAATGTCCGTGTTGCCTCTAAGAGGCAGGGAAGAGATCAGGAGGCTGCCTGGGAAAGTGGCTCAGAGGAGCTGGAAGTGGCCGAGGTGTAGAGAATGAAAAGGGGCCGAGGTGCCAGGAAATGCTCCACCCCGGATCCTAAGGTAAATCTTCCTCCTGGCTTTCTGCAGCCTGAGCTTGCCTTGGTTTGATTTTGCTTCCCTGGGCTGCTGGCCTGAGGTTGGCATCTCTGTTTTATGTACCTGCGTGGAGGAGGTGGTGCAAAGCATTGTACACACCATATGGGGCCCCATTTGCATTTAGTGAGTGCTCAGCTGTGCACAGTGTCTCCTTAACGAATCACACGCCAGCCAAGCATCTCTATATTTATCTCAGCCCTGGGAGCTCAGTGCCCTCTGCGGTCGGGCTCGCACGCCCCAGAACAGTGCCTCGCAGGTTGTTCCCGTTTTCCTTGTGGTCAGAGTCTTCGGGCCCTTCAGTGATTCATTCCCTGGCAGCATCAGCTGGTTTCTGAAAGCATCTTTCTAGACGTTCTGAAGCCAGGAACAATGTTTCCCTCCTGAAGCTATGTGCAAGAACAAGTGCTAAAGAGGGACCTTGAAACCACACTGCTGTGCCCTTGACTTCAGAGCCACATTCAAAGCCGTGCAGATGGATGAGGCTTTCTTTTTCCTTCCTCTTCAGGCTTCTCAGGGGAGGTTCCACAATGCTGAATGCCCCACCCCCCACATCCCCTCATTTCTTCTATATTATCTAAAACCCTCATGTATATTTTTCCTTACTCACTCCTTCTAAGAAATACTCCTTTTTATTTATGTAACTTAGATCAGAGAGTTTGCCAATATGACCACTTCTGTGTACAGGAATAACTGATATTTACTGAAGTGTCAGCTGTAATATTAAGCACGTGAAAGGCATTATCTTATTTTTTTCACCTTGAAATAAACCTCTGAATGAGCATCACGTCTCTGTTTTATCAACAAGAAGAGTAAGATTCAGAGACGTAATTTGTCCAAGGCCACACAGCCAGTGCAGGGAGGAGTCTGGCGAGACAGCAAAGCTCTTTACACTAAATAGGTTTCTGCTTCCTGTCTTTTTCCCAGTTGGAGTCATTTTCTTCAACTCTTCTTCTCATTCCCACCAATTAAAAGCCTCGACTTGAAGATTAACACACATGCACACACACGATTGATAAGACTACAGCAGTTTTGTTTAATGATGTAGCCACTGTCAAATTCAAGCCACGTCCCCACAGAATTGCTTTTTACCCTTTGTAAAACTTAGATGGGCGTAGAATGTATTTCCTGCCCTGGGCTAGACTGTGGCATTAAGGTGCTTTCCTTGTGACATGAATAACAGGGAGCAGCTTGGATGCCCACTGAGGCAGATGCCCTAGTCTTGGCCCCATGGGCTCTGTGTCGTCTGTCCTGCCCTGTTAGATTCTCATAAGGAGAAGGATGCTGAGCTCTGGGTTGAGCTATAGCCCTGGCACAGTCTGTGACCTAGAGCAATTCACAATGTCCTGCTGGTAGAAATTAAATTCAGTTTCCTATAAAGTTTAAATTTGAGTGGAAGGCCTTGATTTTGTTCTTACAGCCTAAAGGTCTCTTTTCCTTCCCACCTCAGTCAAATAACATTTCAAAGCCAGTAGTGAAGCCAAGTCACCTCCCCACTCTGGCCCGCAGTCTCTTCATCCGTACAATAGGAAGCATGGACTCAGTATTCCCTGGCCTTCCCAGCAGCTCTTGGTTTAGGACCCCAGGGAGCTGCGGAGAAGCCCATCTCACCCTGCAGAGTTCTGACTTAGACAGGAGTTACAGTGAGTCCAGCCAGGGCTGGTCTAAGCAAAAAAGGGAGTTTATTGGAAGGATATTTGTTCAGCTCGCAAAATCCAAAATGAATTAAGTAACCAGACACAGGGATATGAGGAACCAGGGTAGCCTCAAGGATCTCTTCAGCAGGAGTTCATGAACTTTCCCCCTGGAGCACTGCCACTAAGATGACTTGGAGCATGTATTCCAGGGAGGGAGCTGCCATGGGATTTTTCATTTGTGGGAGGTGGGGGCTAGGTAGGGTCAACCAGCAGGAAAAAGCTGCTGGAGGCCATTCTTGTGGGCAACACAGGTGGTTCCCAAGAAGAGGACCCAGTAGGATCCCCACCTCCCCTACCCTCCACGTGCAAATATACAAATAGGTAAACCTTGCAGAGAAAGTCCATATATATGTATATAATGATGAGGTCACCATGCCTGGGAGGGAGACACCATAGACCAGTAACAGGAATTACAATGCTTGATTTATTTTATTAAATGTTTTCAGGCAGCTGTGGCTAGAGGAAAGAGTAACCGATTTCAAGGCAAAAGCCTTGGGGGATGGACCATCTTAATTTTGGGCACAGAGAAAAGCTCACAGGGAAAGAAGGCACCACCGCTTTGAATTAGGACCCTCCCTTCCTCCCTGCCAGACCTGGTCTCACCTTTTCCACTTTGATGGGATTTGGGCAAGTTTCAACCTCTTGAAAGGTTGTTTTATGTCCTCATCTGTGTAATACTCCCACTCCCACAATTAACAACAGCAAGACAACGGCTAACATTTACTGGGGCCCGGCGTGTGCCGAGCATGTCACGTGGGAGCTGGTTTCCTTACCACCGTCAGACGCAGTGCTGTTGCAGCCTGCATTTTGCAGGTGAGGAACTGGGGCTTACAGGAATTGAGAGAGGCAGGAAAGGGCTGAGCACAGTGATCTACAAACTGATGGAGAGGGCGGGCTCAGGAGCTGGACGGCCAGATTTGAATTCTGGCTCCAACACTTCCTGATGCGGAGTCCCTGGGCGTGTTGTTTAAGTCATCCATCTGTAAAATGGGGGTCAAGGTGAGGCCCCTTGTCATGGTGTGCTGATGAGGGTACATGATTTAATATATATAGACAGTGCCTGGGGCAGAGTAGTGCTCTGTGATGTTTGCTGTTGTTAATAAGGTCTTCAGTTAGTACTGGGCAAAGTGGAGATTGGATCCCAGGGCTGATGACTCTGAGACACAACCTCAGCGGCAGACATCGCTGTGCTGGCAGGACAAGGAGTGTAGGGCGGGGAGGAGAGAGAAAGAGACAAGACTTAGGACTCCTGGCTCCTCTCCATGACCTTGTCTCCATGACCTTGAACTAGATACCCAGAAAGTCAGCACCAATTGCCGGGTCCCTGTAATGGATTGCAATATACATTCAGCACTGGCTTCCCTTTTAAGCCTCTTACTTCAGGAGGCTTTAGGAAGGGGTCACTTAAGGAAAAAGAAGAGAAGGAGACACAGAGAGGGACAAGACAGAGGAAAGAGAGATGAAGTCAAAGAGAACGTGAGCAGCAGACATGAACGTAGGGACCGACGGACAGAGTGAACAGATTGATACTGACAGATTGACAGAATGAATCAGAATTGATACTCAGAAGATCGGAAGCAGAGAGACACAGGCTTAACGACAGGGACAGGAAGTGGGAGAGAAGCAGAATGAAAAGAGGGGCGAGAGGATGGGTGGGGACTGAGTGGAGACAGCGCTGAGGAGACGCTGAGGGACCGCCCTTCCTGTGATTGATGGAGCAGGCAAAGCCCTTGAGCATGTCAGCGCTTTATCTGAGAAAGCACCTTCACCATGGCGGCAGCCCCACGGTGTCTGGCTGTGTAGGGCTGTGACCGGAGACCCTCTTTGTCAGAATGCGTAGACCGGAGCGCTCCTCTCTCTGTGTTTCGCCCAGGATGCCACAGCTTAGGCTGTGGACTTTTCACGGTGGGCAATAAAGTCTTGTTTGGAGAGGCCTTGGGCTGAACAAGACTCCAAGGCTGGGCCAAGAGGGCAATAAGACTCAGGGGCCTGGAGGCTGATTTTAGATGAGGGGATGGTTTCTATAAAAAGTCACATGTATGTATTAGGCCTCAAAAAATCTCTGCAGGGACATCCGTCAGAATGTCAGCAATCGCTCATCTCATGGGAGGATTAAGGAGGAGTCTCACTTCATCAGAAATGTGTTTCTATTATGTTTTCTTTTTTCTTTTTTTTAACAATATCGACACAGAGCCTTTATAATCAGAAACAAGGGGTGTAAATGAGGTAACAGGCACACTCCTGAGGTGAGAAGGCAGGGAAGAAGACAGCCCCTGACACGGCCTGGGCGTGACTGTATTCCTCCGGCAAGCAGCCCATGGCTGAGGGGAAGGGCAGTGCACCCCAAAATATTTCTCCTGGATGCTTCCAAGATGCTTTGAAAATCTGATATGACCACAGTCCCCACTCTGATTCTTGCAGAAGGGTAAAATTATTAATGTCCCCTCAGCTTGGACACATTTCATTCCTTTGAGGTTCTTCAGGGTTTAAACAAAAGGCAGGAGGGGGCAGTTCATTATGCTGTCAGTTGGATGGTATCTGTGCTGCCTGTGGGCACGCCCCGCCCCCAGCAGACTGTGGGTGCGGTGGCTGTGGAATCAACTCCCTCTCCCCTCAGGCCCCCATCTCCACCCCCTTTTCTTTTCAATTTTAAATGAAGTTTGTGGCTGGCACATACTTTCAAAGGGATTGCCTGTTGGCTTGAGAAATGACTCAGGTGTGTCTTCTTTCAGGCTTTATGAAGGCAAGGAACAGATGGAGTTTGAAGAATCCATGAGACGGCTCTTTGAATCCATCAACAACCTGATGAAAAGTCAGTATAAAACAACCATCCTTCTGCAGGTTGGTTTACACACCCCCCCTCCCCCCAAAAACTCTGTCGTTTCCCTTGGTCATCTGATAAATAACAGCACGATGAGATAATGTCTACTTTTGCCTGGATATGCAGCCCAGCCCTGTGTGAATTAAAGTTCTGGGCTGGTCACTTGGTGTGAGGGTCCGGAGCGCCGAGGGCTCCTCGGGGCAGGAGAAGGCATATTTACTGTTTGTTTCCCATGAAGGTAGCAGGGCCTCTTCGTAAACATCCCTGAAGCTTTTGCTCCCTGGAAGGAAGCAGGTCAAACCTGGTCCATGTCTAGCGGTGAGACTAGTTAAGGTGGCAGTCTCTTAAATCGTCCACTTTTTACTCTCAACACCATAGACTCAGACCCCCTTTTGGGATGAGAGTCTCCTCAGTAAACAAGAGATAGTCTGGGGTTGGAGTCCCCTAAATTAGTGGTTTATGATGTTAATCTATAGACTGTAAATCTTTGAGAAAGTTCGAGGCTAACCCTGTTGAAGAGGAGGAGGAGTTTAGTTGCCAACAGGCTGAGTGAAGAGGCTGTTTCAGGGGGACTTCATGACTTTCACAGCATTTATTCACATGTGCTCGGGAAGGGCTGCCTCGTGAGTTCTTTCTCCAAGAAGAAAACCCAAAGACATTTATGGAAACCAGTGAGTTAATCCAGATTCTTCTTTTAATCAGAGTTATCCTTTTCACTGCTAATGTAAGTACCCACCACGCCTGGGGTTGCCCAGCCTCTGGTTAGCATGAATGAGGTACTTGCCTTCAGCTAGGATGGAGGGGAGGAGGCAAATGCAGAAGTCTATCCAGGGAGCGTTTACTACTAACGCCCTGGATTCCAAACCTTGCATGTTAAAGTCACTTGAGGATCTTGAATAAATTCTGATGTCTGGTTACCACCACCAGACATTCTAATTTAATCGATATGGAGTGTGACCAGGGCAAAGGGAGTTTAAAAAGCTCCCCACTTGATTTTAATATGAAGCAAAGTTTGGGAATCCCTCTGCTAATGGCTTCCTTTGATTTGACACATGTTGGGAACCTGTGTGTGTGTGTGTGTGTGTGTGTCTGTGTCTGTGTGTGTATATGTGTGTGGGGGGAGGTGCTTGTCTTGTCCATCGCTGTACCCTTAGCACCTAGAGCAGCCCCAGTACCTAGGTAATGCTTGGTAAGCGTCTGTTGAGTGAACAACCGTTGGGATAGGTGTTCAGATCTCGGTTTTATGGGTGAGGAAACTGAAGGGCTCCAGTGCACTGAGGGGTGTGGCTGGGATTCGGATCTCTTCCCTCCTGGCTCCAAAGACTGTGCTCCGAGCTGCCACGTCACGCTGCTCTTCATACCGCACATTTAGCACCTGCTGGGGGTGGGGGTGCTTCCCCTGAGATGAGCTGGGCCTGCCGTCTTACAGTTCTCACCTTCTCTTCCCTCTTGCTAGGCTTTTTTTTTCCCTTTTAACAGTCTCCCTTCTATTCCTCAAACCCTCATCATTTTGACGCAAAGGGAGTAACAGGAGCGGGGGACTGCAGCATGAAAGACATGTGACAAGAGCCCGAGCCTATACCCCCGCCTGCCTCTCCTGGAAGAGGGCGCACTGTGTTAGGATGCCCGGTGAGAGCTGAGGATGGCTGGCTGCCATGAGAGAGGCTAGAGCATTGCGTCAGGTGTGAAACAGGCTCCCAGGAAGCTGAAATGTGCGGGAGCAGAAATGAGGGACAAGCAGGGGAAGCCGGGGTGGGGAGGAGAAAGGAGTGGGTGCCCCCAAGAGGCAGCGCTGCCAGAGGAGAGACCACGTGACCTTGAGAATGACAAGGGATTGAGCCACCCTGGAGCCACCCTTCCCAGTTCCAGCACTGATTTTCCTGTGATGAACTGGCTACGGGTGTACTGGGGGACGGAACAAAGGGACAGAGGGAATAAGAAGGCAGGGAAAGAAAGGAATGGAAAAGAAAGGGAGCAAGGAAGCAAAGATGAGCTGGTGAGAGTTTCTGGCCCCGAGGAGACCCGGGTCAGCAAAGCGTTCTTGATCCGCTGTGTGACCTTATGCTGAATTTAACCTCTCAGTGCCTCAGTTTCATCATCTGTAAAACTTCAGTGTTCGGATGAGGATCAAGTAAGCTTTGCCTGAAAAAAAGCCAGTTATACAATGCTATGCAAAGACAGAGAACTCACATGATTGTTGTGGCTTTGGCGTGAGTCTTTTTACCCAGGTTCTTAACGCCTGGGTGGCTGTGTTAGAAATGTCTTGTTTTCCCTGGGATTCGGGCCAGATTATGCTGGTTTCGCCTCATGGATTTCCACCCCAGAGCCATGGAAAGGGACTTTGTCTTTTGTTATATTTATTCTAAGGGCCAAATTTAGCTTCTGGATTTACATCAAATCAATGATGCTTTCCACCTATTTCTAGGGTTGTTGAAAAGTTGTCAGAGAAGAGGTTAAAGTCATACTCAGATAGGGAAAACGATGCTCTTTTGGGGCGTGAGGAATGAGCTGGTGATGGGAGAGGGGTCAAGGGCATGTGAGGTTAGCAGACCCCCCACAAGGGATCTTCTGCAGACTGTGACATTTGCTACAGGAGAAAGAGCTTTGGATTTCGAGCCAGAGAGACCCAGGTGGGAAATGGGGTGTCCACACTTGGGCACATAACACTGGGCGAATCATTTCAGTTTCCTGGGCCTCGTTTATCCTTTTATAAAATGGGAAGCCTGATGTCTGTCTAATTTGGAGACTTCTTGAGAGGATTAAATAAGTAATGCATGCAAAGCATGGTGTGCAAAGCCTGTTACATCGTTCAGTTTAAATAATTTTCAGTCATTTATATCTCTCCCTCCTTTACCTCATCATAAAGCAGAAGCTTCGAGGGCATTTTCCTAAAGTGGAATCTGGAAGGGAATATTTGTATTTTTAACCCTGTAGCATGAAGCTGAACAGTGTTAGGACATTGAGTTATTCAGCTGGATCAAGAAACATATACAAATTTCCAGGAGGATAAATTCACAAGAACTGACACTATGAAAAAAGAAAAAAGGAAGGCGGCAAAGTTTTACCCAGTGAAATAGTACAGCATGACTGGAGCCTTGGTTCTGAGCCTTCATGGGGTGCGGTGGGAAAGAGGGCTGTGATCTGTTAGTAATGTCTGCCATATGTTTTGGATGAGAGCATAGAGAGCCAAGGACTGACATTCCTGGTTCAAACGTGACAGTTCCAGCTGGGTAACGGCTCGTCAGTTCAGAGTAGGGATGATCCCGTTCAATCTCAGCCTTGCCCATCGTGAGTTCTTGGACCCAAGTAAGTCACTTCTCAGGTCTGAGGCTCTTCTGGCTCTCGTGAATTGCTTTCTGTAGTTTTCCTCACTGTTCAGAGTTGGCACGGCAGTAGCTCACACAAAACAATGGAGAATTTAAAGCCAGCCGTCCAAAGAAGGGAGAAAGAGCATTAAAAACAGCTTCCATTGATTGAGTACCTACCATGTGTCAGGCATGGAGCTGAAGCTTTCACATGCAGTGTTTTTCAGTCCTGCCAGAGGTCTGCAAGGAATCACTGCCTTCTGTGTCCACCGGAGGCTCACGAAGTTAAGTAATTCACCCTGAATTGTACCTCTTCATAGGGTGGGGCCAGGATTTCATTCCACCCAGGTCTTCTAGCTCCAAACTTAATATGATTCTCTAAGCCACAACAAATGGCTTAGGCTAGGGGTTTCCATGTCCTTTCCCGAATGGGCTGTACGCTCAGAAGTCCCGGTGTGTGCCAGCCCTGTGAGCGTTGTTGGTAAAACTGATGGCAGTCTGAGACAGTCCACACTAGACACTTGAGAGCTGGCTACAGCTCAGATGTGAGTAGCGGCCATTTGGTGACATGGTGAAGACCTATTTGGCGCATTCTCCTGTCGGTCATGATTCATCCTAATGCTCCAATCTGCTGTACGAGTGAAAATCAAGGAGCAACCCTCAAGCGCAGGATATTGCTCCCTTGGCCACTGTGATTGCTGCATGTGCTGCTGTAGCCGCTAGAGTGTCCAGGAGGGCAGGGGCCTCTGAGTTTCCTGTCTCCAGTGTCTGAACCAGTGGCTGTCACATGGTAGATGCTTGAGTGTCTTTCAGCTGAATGAATGAGCGAGTGACTAGTCTTCCACTATCTTACGTTTTATTATGTGTCACACATTGAGCTGAAAGCTTCACATATATGCCATGAGCTCATTTGATTTTTATAACAACCACCTTATTAGGCAAATATTCTTCTTATCTCTACTTTACAGATGAGGAAATAGAAGCTTAGAGAGATTGAGTAAGTTAACCACGGCTAAGAAGTGGCGGGTCTGGGACTTGAATCCAGGCTGTGTTAAGTGCAGAGTCTGGGCTCCTAATCACCACCCAACGAGGCATGGTTTTATTAAAGAGTCAGGTCTCCTGGCGGAAAGCCAGGTGGATAAGCAGTAAGAATGTAAACAATAGTACAGACAGGCAGGCGTCTAGTCCATGCTCATGACGTCGAGCTAATTAAGGAGGCCTTTCTTTCCTCTCTTTTCATTGTCAGTTGGTGTAAGATGTTTGAATGTCCGAAATAGGGGAAGAGAGTGGTTCATTCTTGAGAAGTAGCCTGCAGGCTGCACGCTGAGACCCCAGAGGTGGGAGACGTGAGACTCATATTTAACAGCAAGAGCTGGAGTTTGACCTCAGACCGTGAAGTGATTCTTTAATGCTGTCCCCTTCTCAACCGTATACCCTGTCCTTAGGGGCAATTTTTGGGAATGTTGGATTTATGGAGGCTAGGTTGAAATTTTGTTCCAGTGAGGCCGCTGTAGTCATACTGATGGGTCGCAGTTTTCATTTCATCTTCACATCAGTTCTGTAAAGTAGGTAACTTTATTCCCTTCATTCTCCTGATGGGGAAAGTGGAGCAGAGTTACCTTCCCCAAGGACACGTAGGTAAAAGGGATCCGGACTTGAACACAGACGACCTGCTTTTTCAGCCAGCCAGTTAAAACACTGAACTCCTGCCAAGC